AACTTTGTTTTTGTTGTGGAGGAAACTTCTGGCTGAGTGATGACGTCAAATGAAAGAGCAGTCCAAGAAATAACTCCCTTATAGATGCCAGAGTTTGCAGATTCGCCGACCTTCTGGAACGTGAGCATCCTGGCCACACTCTAATTTCAAACAGCATTCTTAGTCAGAACCATTGCTAAACAGAAGATGCCCAATTTGAATCTGGGTAGTGCTGGTTTCAACTGAATTTGGTGTGCTACAATTGGCCATTGATTCTCGCATGAGGTGGGAGGATCTTTATGGAGACCTTAGTAGCAATGGAGAAACTTGGTCAGTGGGTGCAGAGCTTCGCAAACTCTGCTCAGCACGTCACCAAGCCTGAGCTACCACAGTCCTGTGCACAAGTGCTAAATCCATAGTGGCAGCTAAAAGTGTGTATAGTTCTGTCCTTACTTCCCTAGGTGCTGTGTAACTTTGGAAAAGGGGAGAGTGAGAGAGATTGGAGGCATCCTTCTCAAACATGAGATTTGTCAGGCCTGGATGCTGACATGCTGTTCCCATGGAAAGATTGGGCCGTCTTACACAAGGCAGAAAACCGAAGCCATGTTTGCCTTGATCACCCCTGCACAGGGTGGAGGAGAAGGCAAAGAAGAACAAAGAATGATACAGTACAGGAACAGTCCCTTCTGCCCTCCAAACCTGTGCCAACACATTTTGCCCTTCCATACTAAAACTGTCTTCACTTACAGGATCCATATTCCTCTGTTCCTTTGCTATCCATGTATTTGTCCAGGTGCTGCTTGAATGTTGCTATTGTGTCTGCTTCCACTCCCTCCTCTGGCAGCACGTTCCAGGCACCCTTTGTGTGAAATAAGTGCCTCGCACATCTCTTTTAAACGTCCCCCCTTGCACCTTGAACCTGTGTCCCCACCTTCAGCGATCTGTGGACCTGCACACCCAGATCTCTCTGCGTATCAACACTCCGAAGGGTTCTGCCATTCATGTATTATTTCCACCTGTACTAGATCTTCCAAAATGCATCACCTCACATTTGTCCGGATTAAACTCTATCTGCCGTTTTTCTGCCCATGCCTCCAACTGATCTATATCCTGCCCTATCCTCTGACAATCCTCCTCACTATCCACAATTCCACCAGTTTCTGTATCGTCTGCATACTTACTAATTAGACCAGCTATGTTTTCCTCCAAATCATTTACGTAGATCACAAACAGCAGGGGTCCCAGTACTGAACCCTGTGGAACACCACTAGTCACAGCCTTCCATTTCAAAGAGCATCCTTCCACTGCTACCCTCTGTCTCCTATGACTAAGCCAGTTCTGTATCCATCTTGCTTGCTCACCCCGATACCAGGTGACTTCACCTTTTTATACCAGTCTGCCATGAGGTGCTGTGTCAAAGGCTTTACTGAAGTCTATGTAGATAAATCAAACACTTTTCCCTCATCAATCATCTTCATTACCTCCTCAAAAAACTCAATTAGGTTAGTGAGGCACAACTGTCCCCGCAGAAGACCATGCTGTTTATCACTAATCAGTTCATTTACTTCTAAATGCTTATACATCTTGTCCATGAGAATCTTTTCCAATAATTTCCCTATCACTGATGTGAGGCACTCAGGTCTGTAATTTCCTGGATTATCCCTGCTACCCTTTTTAAACAATGAGACAACATTAGCTATTCTCCAGTCCTCTGAGACTTCACTTGTGGCCAAAGAGGATACAAAGATGTCTGTCAATGCTCCAGCAATTTTGTTCTCTTGCTTCCCTCAATATTCTGGGATAGATCCCTTCAGGACCCAGGAGCTTACCTATCTTAATACTTTCTAAGATGCACAACACCTCTTCTTTTTAACAGCAATTTCGCTAAGAGATTCGACATGCCCTTCCCTGAGATCATCCTCCACCAATTCCTTCTCTTTAGCGAATACTGACACAAAGTATTCGTTTAGGGCCTCCGTACCTCTTCACACATACGGACCCTCACTTTGGTTACTCAGTGCCTCACTAAAGTACTCTCTAGCATTTTGCTGACATGGAATTGTCGGTAAGACCGTGAGAGAGAAGGTAGGGAAAGGGCACATGGAAGTGGGGACCCTGCTAAAAGGCCTTCCCATGTCTGGTCCTGCACCTCCAATCTTCCCAGCAGACCCTGTCCTTCTGGAAACTCAGGCTGCACATTGTAATGGGCATGTCTGATCTGCTCTAAGTCAAACCTTCAATGACTTTGTGCTAACATGGCTTCGGCTTTATTGTACCACTGCTTTAGTGGTGGGGCTTCTTACAAGTGTTGACAGCCATGTACTTGGAGGATAGCCCTTGTCTTTGAGGAACTGACCCTGTTAGGACTTGTAAAGGACCTTCCGGTGGTCACATACCAGCTGAAAATGGAGTGAGATTGTTTTGTATTGACAAGGAATGCTGGTTAATCTGAGAGCACTTGGATTGTCACGTGTTCAATCTGTGGCTCAGTACCCAATAGGAATTCAACCATTCCAGGCTCTGTCTGCCCTGCCTGGCCCTGACAGTTACAAAGTGGCCATCGGTTACCTTTGAGAGACACTTGTGTATAGCAGATTGAAATCCTGCTGACATCTCCAGTTGATCCCTACAAGGTGCCAGGGGTGAAGAAAATCACGACTGTTGCAATCTGGGTGGCTAGTGGCAAGATGTGCCCTCCTGGTGCAGTGGCATTGTGATCTTTACCAAAACAATGCAGGTGTTGGCCATGATCTTCCCTGAAACATTGAGACTTCACACATTGCT